AGCAGAGAAAAACATCAAGTACAGAGGCCCTGAGGTGGCCTTAGGTGTCTGGGAAACTAGAGAATCTGGTGAGGCTAAAGAGAGGTGAAGGAAGGTAGATGGTCCAGGTGATATAAGAAACGTCCTGATAGACTTGGTGAGGATGTAGCTTTTCCTCTATTGGGCTGGGGAGCCATAGAAGGTTTTTGAGCACAGGAGTGACAGGCTCTGACTTAGGACGGCTTCTGTGTGGAGAAAAGACTGTACGTATAAAGGTAAAAGCAGGCAAAGCAGACATCCAGGTGAGAGAAGAGAGTGGTTTGAATTGGGGTGCTGGTGGAGGAGCTGGTGAGAAGATTCTGAAAACATTTCACAGATAGAGACCATGGCATTTATTGATGGTTTACACATGGAGGGTGGGATGGCTTCAAGATTTTGACCTTGAGAAATTTGAAGAATGGGGTTTTTGTTTGCTAGGATGGAGGAGTCAGAAGGAAAAGCTAGTTTGGGGAAAGAATCAAAAGTGAAGTGTTGGACATACTAAGTTTGAGTTGCCTATTGGATGTGCATGTGGAGAGCAGCAGGCAGTTGGTTCTCTGCATCTGGTTTCAAGAAAGAGGTCAGAGCTGAAGATACAACCTTGGATGTCATCAGCATAGAGATGGTGCTTATAGCCACGGGCCGCACAAGGTCATCTAGGACAGCAGTGTAGCGATCTTCACAGGGGTGTAAAGGTCAAAAGATATTGTATGGAAAAGACTTTTGTAAACTGCGAAATGTTATACACATGGAAAGGGCTACATGCACAACTATGGTAAAGAACATGACGTAAAGAAGTATCCGTGGGAAGAGTTAGGGTGATAGAACGTGCATGCAGGAGGACCTCAGACACCAGTTGATCAAGCCCTCTCATCCATGAGGAACTGAGGTCAGAGAGGGTAAGTGCTCATTCAAGGACACCCAGCTGGCCAGTGGCCAAGCTGGTCCCAGAACTGAGAAGCCCCAACTGCTGGTGCGGTGCTCTTTCCACCACATGATGCACCTGCTCACACTTACCGCTTCGGCTCTCCAAATCGGTTAACCAGGGCCAAGCAATTATTCCAAAGCAGAAATCTAATGATATCACTTGGTGCTTTCATACATGCTATTTCCTCTGCCTCCTCCCACTTCTCTGTCTGGTAAATGCCTGCCCTTGTCTCCATTCCCAGCGAGAAGGCCCTTTGCTGTGAAGACTTCCTTGCCCTGTTGGATAGAGCAAGTCATCGCCTGCCCACTTTGCTGGGTTTTATGTCTGCCTCTCCTGCCTGCCTCGGAGGCTCTGGCTTTCTCTTCCTATGACCTCTCCACCTGGTAGAGTGAGTGGCACTTAAATGTTTGGGGAGGAAGGAAGGAAGGAAGGTCTCTTCTCTCACATTAGCTCAGGACAATGGCAGAGCTGCCATTTAGTGACACTTCAGTTCCTCTGACCTAAGTGTGCTTTTGGTTCACAGGTTGGCAATGACTCCTGGAGTGGGAATTTTCTTTTTTCTTTCCCATCCCCAGGCACAATGGGCAGATAGTTCAAAAATTATAAATGATTGCTGCCTTCTTCTTTTCAGTTCTCTCTATCCTATTCTATACAAGTGGATGGTGTTTGTGTGCCTTTTGCTGCCTGGCCAGACTTGTGTTTGTGCTTGGGCTCTGCACAGGCATGCATGAGCACGCGCGTGCACACACACACACACACATACACACACACACACTCCTGGGAGAGACTGCACTCTTGTTTTTCAGAGGCAGCCAGATCTCCTAGAAAATGCCCTCTGGTGGAGGCAGGAGAGGTCAGGTTTGTCACCCTGAAGCATAAGAGTTTGGGCTTACTTCTTAACCCCTTAGCACCTTAGTTCAAGATAAGTTTGGAATTTCTAGGTCAAGAGTGAATTCTAAGAACTCTTTCCCACCCCTGTTTTTGCTATTCTTTAGCGTGTTTGTTTTGGATAATTCTGTGTTAATTATGGTATGTACACTCTGCTTAATTAACACTATTCCAGCCGAAACCGGTTTGGCTCAGTGGATAGAGCGTCGGCCTGCAGACTGAAGGGTCCCAGGTTCGATTCCGGTCAAGGGCATGTACCTGGGTTGCGGGCACGTCCCCAGTAGGGGATGTGCAGGAGGCAGCTGGTCGATGTTTCTCTCTCATCGATGTTTCTAACTCTCTATCTCTCTCCCTTCCTCTCTGTGGAAAATCAATAAAATATATATTAAAAAAAAAAAACCAAAAAACAAAAACACTATTCCAGTAGGTGGAGAACTGCTCCTAATAGAAGTAATCATTGCACAGGTTATTGCAAAGGTTTAAAGAGGGCGACAGAAAGTGGTGGTGACACTGTCCTGATGGGGTCAGCGCTCCAGGTTTTCTCCAGATGATTCAGAGATTCTCATGAGGCCGGGCTTGCCAAATTCTAGGGGTGCCTGAAGTGGTGGCGAGCCAGGCTAGTAAAGCAACGGTCCCTTCCTGAGGGCTGGACTTCAGAAGCTGTCTTGCACTGAGAGCTCTTGAGTAATCACTGTTAATCAATACAATACTGTGGGATGCAATTAGGATTAATTAGCCCAGCATCCCAGGCAGCTCTGCTCCTCCGTCTGTGTCTCCTCGGGTGTCTCCCCTTCTTGGCTCCTGCTTCCCCTGAAAAGGGAGGATTCCTTGCCTGTGTCCCCAGACTGGGGTCTGGTGTCTTCTCTTCCTGAACCAAGACCCTCCCACAGTCATTGATAATGGGGAGGAGAGCCAGGACGGGGCAGGAAATGACGGTGGGAAGAGAAGAAAGAGAAAACCATCAAGGCATGGTGGAAAAGAGAAGGAGGCTGAGAGAATAGGGTGAAAAATGGAGAGGATTTTTATTGTCTTCCAAGAGAGAGCTGCTGCTAACAGAACAACTCAGAAGGCATTTTATCTATGCTGCCAACTAGACAAATGGGAAACTCTCAAGTCTTCGTATTAATTAAGAGGTGTCTATATGTCTCACGCACTTATATTGTTGCAATGACAAAAGCAGTCCCCACGGTTCTGTAGGGAATGGGGATGAGGAAGGGAGACAGCACTCATAGCCCTGCTCCCACCCCAGCCTGGGACTCTGGGAGAATTGCTTCCCCTCTTTAGGTCTCATTGCCCTTGTCTGTAAAATGATATGTTTGGACTGGATGCCCTGGATTTACCTCTTCCAACTTGATTTCTACCCTTAATTAAATGTTTGGGCTGCCAGAGTGGTATGCCCCCACACACCCATTTCCTTCTTTTTATCCTCTTCTCTACATCTCTCTCCTCTAGGCCAGAGTGTGTCTTATCTTTGCAAGTTTCTTTCCATTCTGCACATTATGAGTTTCAGCATTTCTGTTGCCCTAGAAAGTCTTTATTTCTGAGATTGTGCACTGTTTCCCTTTTTAGAACATCTCATAAACTCCCTTCTTGCTTTTCCGTCATCCTGACCAAACTGCTCTCACCTTGGTTCAGAGGGGAGTGTGAGTGTGTGTGTGTGTGTGTGTGTGTGTGTGTGTGTGTGAGTGTGTGTGTGTGTGTGAGTATGTGTGTGTGTGAGAGAGTGTGTGTGTGTGAGAGTGTGTGTGTGTGAGTGTGAGTGTGTGTGTGTGTGTGTGTGTGTGTGTGTGTGTGTGTAGGGGAAGTTGCTTCTCTGGGATTCGTGCTGTCTCCATTCCTCAGCTTTATCTGGAAATTTCTTTACCTAGAATTTTGTTATGTAAAATGCTTTACTCTACTTCTTCAATTTCTGGCATACACTAGAAAGTCTTTTTAATGTCTTCCTTCTTCCAACGTATCTATTTTTATTTCATAATTCTCTTTGTTTATCTCTTAAAATCATACTTCTGGAGGCTTAATTTTTTCAGGTCCTTGGTCTTTCTCCTTCATTCTTTGTTTTGTTTTCCCCCAACCTCCCCCCCCCCGCCCCCCCCCCCCCCCCCACACACACTTAGGTCACCTTTTTTATTTTAAATACCTTTTTTTCTTCACCAGAGGGCTCCCTTCCCCTCCCTCTCGCAGCTCGGGCACAGGATTTGAAGCTTGCCCCTCTCCTTCCCTCCGCTTTCTCGCCACCAGAAACACTAGACATTAAACTTGTCAACAATGCAGCCTTCCTCAGCTTGATCGCTAAGCCTCCTCCTCAGCTCCGAGCGCTCGCCGGCTGCCTCCCAGAATCGCTAATCTCTTGGATGCCCTCCCAGCGTTCCTGGTGTTATTTTACTCACTGTAGCCCCCTACTTGGTCTTCAAATTGTTCTGTATGGTAGGTATTGCCCACCCTGATTTACAGAGGAGGAAACTGAGGCTTGGAGAGGTTCACTTAAGGTCGTCCAGCTTGTCAGCCCTAATGCGGCCAGCTCTGGCTTTCCAGCCCAGCCCGGCAGCCTCGCCGCCCTCTCTTCTACTGCAGTTCACACCAGATTTCCTCTGTGCTGCACGCGGTTCTTTCCGCCTTCAAATCCACAGGCAGGAAGATCGTCCCTAGCAAACTGGGCTGGGGAATTTGGGAACGGGGGAGAAGGGAGACGTTCTTCAGGCCCCAAGTTTTGGGTGGGCAGGGTGAGGGTGGGAGGAGGCCCCGGGAGGAAGTCAGGTTCCAGATGGGGATTCATGAAAACGGGTGGGCGGGACGTACCAAAAGGCGGCAAGTGCTCGGGGACTTGGGTCTCACCGCTCCAAAGCCGACTGCTGAACGGGACTTCAACCCCCCACCCCTACGCCCGGGTGACGCACCCTTGGCAGGCCAGGGGCGAGGGTCGGGCCGGGTCGGGGACGGGGAGGTGCAGGGCGCCCCCTCGCGCTCTGGCGCACGCCTCGGGACTGGCGACAGACGCGCGCGCCGCGGCTGGTCCTCTCCACCCCCTCCTCCGTTTCGCTCCAGCTCCCCTCCTCTTCTCCCCTCGCTCTCAACTCCTCCCCCACTGCCGATCCCTCCGTCCCTCCCCCTCCAGCTCCCTCCGTCCCCTCCTCCCCGTTCTCACCCGCACGCCGGGTCGGGAGCTAGTTGGAGCGCGAGGACTGCCGCCAGCGCCCAGCGCCGCGGAGCCGGGCGGGTCGGCCGCGCGTCCAGCGGCGGCTAGAGGAGCCCGAGCCTAGCGGGCGCGGGCCCGGGTCGGGACAGCATCGGAGCGCCGAGCCCAGAGTCAGAGGCCGTTCCGCGCGGCTGCCCAATCCCCAGACCGGCCGCCAGCCCTCCGGGTTCGCCTCCGCCTCTCCCGGAGCCGGGAGCCACCGGGGACCGGGCACCTGCGCCCGCAACCCGGAGGTGAGTCCCGGGAACCGCGGGCGCTGCCCGTGCGCGGGCTGGGGCTGCAAGTTTCAAACTTCAGCAACTCGGCGGGGAGAGGGGTAGGGGCCAGGGACGCGGGCAAGTTGGAACCAGGTGGCAGAGGCGTCGGGCCGGCGAAGAGGGGGTCCTCAAGCTTCCGCGCCGCCCGCAGACACCTCGGCTTGGGCGCCCTCCGCGCTGCCTTTTCCCCCGCCGCCCGCTCGCTCCGGGCCTGGCTGTACGGGGTCCTCGCCCGGCCGGGGTCGGCGCGTCTGGGCTGCCTGAGGGGGACCCGGGGGCCGGCCTGTAGGAAGGGGACGGTGGAATGAATGGCGGGGAGAGAGCGGGGCGGAGGCTCTGAGACCCGCGGAGATGGAGGTTCAGAGAGGGCGGGCGAGTAATCCCGGCGCAGGGCGCGAGCGGGCGGGCGAGGTGCGTGGGGACCCGTGACCCACGCGGAGTGTAAAATCTGTTGCTCGGGGACGTTCCCGCTCCATTGCCACCTTCGGGGCCCCCGCCCTGGTTGTTCCAGGACCTTTGCCCGGGCCCGGCCCTGCGGAGCCCAAACTCTGCCCTGCCAGGCCCCGGACGCAGCGGCCGGGGAGCCCCGTGTTCCCGCCTCGGCCAGCGGAGAGGGAGGGGTGCGGCGGCGGGAACCGGGGCGCGAACGGCGATTTCTCGATGTATTGGTCTCATGGTAATTTGTCTTTGTGGTCGGGCTGCCCATTCACTTTCCGCTCACGTCTTGTCGGAGATCCAGCGCGGAGGGAGGGAGCGGGGGCGCGGGCCCTGGGGAGGGATGGAGACCGGAGAGGGGATCCGGGACCCGAGCGGGGCGGGGGACCCGAGGGGAGTGGCCGCCGGACGCGCCGAGGGTGAGGGGAGGCTGAGTTGATCCGGCCGAGCCGCGGGCGCCGGCTGCAGAGGGTGGACGGAGTCGGTTCCTTCGCCTGCTGCAAACTTTAAACTACGAGGAGGAGCCACCTGAAGCGCCGATCTCGCCTTCTTCCCATACCCGGTGGCCCAGTCCTCCGGTCGTACCGCCCGCCCCCCGCGCCCGGCCGCGGCGGGCCCGAGTTTGGACGGGGAGCAGTGACCGCCGGACTCTGCCCCACCCTGCGATCCTCCCCAGGCGTCCGCGATGGGAACCCGAGCGGCGAGAGCGGGAGCGGAGCCGGCCCTCGGGATGTGTTCCCCCCCCCCCCCCACCCCCGTCCTGGAGCCTACGCAACTGCGATGGGGGCGGGGAAGGGGGGCCTGGAAGCCGGCCTGCGTCTGGACCCCAGCATGATCCCACTTTCCCCGGCCCCACCCGCCATAGTTCCCCCTCAGCCCTAGAAAATCCAGTCTCCTCCCACATTTCTCAGCCCCCCACCCCTCGGATTCCCATTTAGGGCTCATTCTGCTCCCTAGGGCTAGGCAGAGACTCCGCCTCCAGCGCCCCCTGCATTACCCCGCCAAGCCCGCCTCCCAGTCCTCCCACCCCCTTTCCCCCTCATCTTTTAGGCTATTCTCTTCCCTTCCTTCTCCTCACTTGCCCCGACCCCCTCCCGATTTCTTCTTGACATTAAAAAGTGGCCTCGCCTTTTCTGATCCGGGATAGATGACCTTGAGGAAGGGGCAGAGGGGAACTTGAGTTTGAGAAATGGACCTCACTAGAAAAAGGGAGCCAGATGAAGCAGCAGCTTGGGAAAAGCTGCAGTACCCTGCCCCAATCTAGATTCCCAACCAAGAAGGAAGGGAGAAGGCAGGCGGATAAAATATCAAAGAGAGAGAGGGCAGAACCAGCAGGAAGAACCCTTTTGGGAGATCACTCAGGAAGAAGGGTTGCCCCTGGTTGTGCCATGTGGGGGAAGGTGTGTGTGTGGGGGGGGATTTCTTTCTTCTGGGCCCATCTCTGTTCTCTTTCCAGGGAGTCAGGCCCTTTCCAGGGAGTTAGCTCCTCCTCCAGAGCTGCAAACAGCCATCATTACCATCACTATGGACATGGTTAAGCACCTGGTGTGTGCAATGTACCATCCAGGTTCTGGTAGATACCAGGCTGAGCCTGTGCTAAATTCACCAGCTTTTTTTTGGGGGGGGGGCAGGGGGAAGAGTGAGGAGAACATGAACAGAAAAATGCAAAGGCTGTACAAGGCAGCAAGGGCTCGGTGCCAGATGGTGACCCAGGGCTTAGGGGAGGACTGGCTGAGGAACGCCTGATGACTCAGGTTCGACTGAGAGCTGGGCTTGTAGACTGATCCCTTCCCCACAGCTGTGCTGATAGGGAGGGTGGGACAGGAGAAGGGATGGACAGGGAGGGGATCCCTTCCCACTCCCGGAGTGGGACTGGAAAGGCAAAGAAGCCAGCTGAGAGGTCCAGCCTGGCTCTGTGGCTTGCCCCTCCCAGCTGGGATTGGAGGAATCACAGAAGCCTTTTTGTCCTAGGGTATCCTTCCTGGCCTGGTTGAAAGTCCCTCTATCAGTTACTTCTTACTGAGGTTCAAAGCTGGAGGAGACTGTCATGCCAGGGGAGTCACAAACTCAAATGCCTACAGAGGGCAGGCAGGTAACAAGGTGCTAATCAAGCAGTTTAAAGTGGCTGGGCCTGGGGACAACTGGTTATTCAAAGTTAAACTGGCCAAATAACAATGTCCAAACAAAACCAATGTGCAGCCCTTGAGTGGTCTGACCCCTATATCTGCAGATTAAGAAATTATGATTCTGCCCTAGCTGGTTTGGCTCAGTGGATAGAGCTGTAGGATAGAGCTGCGGACTGTAGGGTCTCGGGTTCGATTCCAGTCAAGGGCACATGCTCTGGTTGTGAGCTCGATCCCCAGTAGGGGGTGTGCAGGAGGCAGCCAATCAATGATTCTCATCATTGATGTTTCTATCTCTATCTCCCTCTCCCTTCCTCTCTGAAATCAATAAAAATATACTTAAAAAAAGAAATTATGATTCTAAGATGTGATCTCGTCTCGTTGTGTGCACATGGTATCATGTTTCCCTGTACTTTGGGGATTGATTGGAACGCCCCACCAGCCTGGTCCTCCCTCTGACCTGGTGGACCCCCAGCTCACCCTCACTCTCAGGGCCACCAGGACTCTTCTATAGAAGATGAGTTCCTTGAGGTCGGGGAGCTGTCCTATCTTATACAGATCTAGCACTTCATATCCATTGATACAAGATTTTAGACGCAGAGTCAAGACTGGAACTCAGGTCTCATGTCCCTCCCCTCCCTCCTCCACCTGTGGAGCCCAGTGGGTGTAAACCAATTTTTTCCTTTAGGAGAGAAAAAAAAAAATCCAAACCTAACTTTTTGCTTCTAATATAGTAATGCTGTATGCAGGGGTTGAAAGAGAAAAGGCCAGAAGCTCATATTAGGTTGTTGGGGGATCCCAAGGAATATTCAGAAAGCCCTGGGCCTCAGATTTGGGTCTAAAAAGGGAAAGAGGAGCTCTATCAAGGGGGCAGAGGGATGGCAGACGTTTATGGAGGAGCAGCCTGGTGAGGCTGAAGATTGGTGGATGGAGTGTGTGCACTTGGGAAGAAGATGCTGTCGGGTTGAATTATTTTGAACATCGATCATGACACTCCTGTTCTTAATCTTGGTCACCCTCCTGTATCCCACAGGGAAAGTCAACAAGATAGCAACTCAGATCACGGCTATACAATCAACGAATTCACCACTTTTATTGAGGACTGAGGTGGTAGAATGGACACAGAAGGCAAAGGACAAGATCCCTGATTAGAAGTGCTTGTTACCTTGTCATCTTGCCTTAAAGGACCCAGAGCTGAGCTCTGCTGCCCCCCAGTCAGGTGTTCCCCATGGTTCTCAAGCATTGACTTTTTATTGCCTATAAACCAGGTAGATGAGATAAACCAGTGGCAGTAAACTAAGGTGTTTGTCAGTTACTGAGCACCTGCTGTGTGCCAGGCACTGTGCTAGAAGCTATGGATACAACAGTAGACAAGTTTTGTCTCTAAAATCCCTGGATGGAGGTGAATCAGCGTGCTAGGGGAGCACAATTACTAGCATTGCCTCAACTTCTAAGATGAAATTTACTGTGGGTTGTGTTTTACCTGTGGGTTTGTCTGCGTGACCTGACCGCTAATGTGGAGTTGTCCAAAGGATTTGGGGGGAAGGCTGAGAGAGCTAGTTGTTTCCCTATTTCCAAGTCCCCTCTTCATGCCTCAGATTCCTCACTCATTAAGTGGGGTTGAACACCTGCCTTGTGCCTGGTGATCTGGGGATGAGAACTATTGGGAGGCAGTATTGGTTATTTATATTTCAGGGTCTGAACCCCAGTGTGTCCTGGGACCATCCTTTGCCTCATTCAGTCATCTTGATGACTAGCTTGTTTTCATCAACTGATGACTTTGTGTGAATGTGTGTGTGTATATTGGAAATAACTACCTCTAATGAATGAGTTTTCTTCACATTCATACCTTTGCATTTGAGTTGAGCCATCGCTAAATTGGTCTTAAATTTATGACAAAGCCTAACTAATTTGGTCTTAAATGTATAACAAGAGGCCAAAGCAAGTGTCTTGACGAATGGTTTCATTGAGTTGACCGAATTAAGCCTTTCTCTTACAGCGTGTGTGGGCAACCCCTGGATTTGACTGGTATAGTGCATACATTTGGAAACTTTCTCTTTGAATTTTGGTTTGGTGACATCTGCCTCAGCTGAGGAGATGGCTCCTTGATGGGTAAGCTGGAAGGGGATCTCTGTGTATGCCATTCTCTGTCTCCAATGGAAGAATCTCCTTTAAGACTTTCTGAAGAAATCCCCCTTACAACAGGCTGGAAAGCTAGAGAGTGGCAGGGGAGGGTCCCAGCTGGGAGCAGAGTTCAGAAAGGGAAAGGGGTGCTGACTGCTCTGTGGCCTTGCATGTCACCGTCCTGCCCTTCTGCTTTCGTGCTGTGCTTTAGTGAGCCTGAGAGATGAAAACCAAACCTTGCAGAATGCACTCTTTAATTCGGTCATTACTTGGGGGCTCACCAGTGAGAAACTG